TTTGATCAAGAAACTGAAGGGAAGGTCAATGAGGAAACAAATACCATTGAGAGAGGCGGCAAAGATCAGGCGGAGAGTGTAGGTACATCGCAAGAAACTATGGTCGACACATCCAGTGTATCTATGGTAGCTAGATCTGGGAAGCCAAATTATGATCAACTTCCAAAAGAAATGCATGAAATGAAAATTAGAGATGATAAAGCCAATAAGAATACTGAGAAGGTATTTATTTTCATTCTTTTTTTCTTACTCTCCTAAGTTCAATGCCTATTTTAGTCATTATTGTGCTACTTTGTAAATGTAAAATCATTAGTAGATATTGCATAATATTGAAAAGTATGCACATATGCACCTTTCTGTCTCTACTCTCTACCAAGATATCTAAAACAAGTTGCTTTTATTTGTAAGTTTCATGAGCCGGAATAAATTTTAAATTCCATCAATTGCTGTTTAGAGTAACAAGTTTACTACATGCAGGATATAGAAGCAACCATAGTGAGTGGTCATGGAACAGAAACAGGTCAAATAATTACAACTGCTATTGGTGGTCGAGATGGACAACCAAAGCAGGTGATTGCTTCATTATTGTTGCATATCCATGAGTCACATTACTTAGAAGGTTTTGCTTAATTTGTTTGCATCGGTACATGATATTTTATAGATTTTATTAATGGCTTGCTGAAAAATATTGCGCATTTATTAAGTTATATTCTATCTGGTTCAGACAATCTCGTACATGGCTGAACGTGTGGTTGGGACTGGTTCTTTCGGCGTTGTTTTTCAGGTATTTGTGTTCTTTTTCTGATGTTTAAATAAATGTCATCCTCCTTTGTTGTACTGTTCTGCAGGTTTGTCAATTACTTGTTTGCTTACCGACAATACTATATATACTGTAGGCTAAGTGCCTTGAAACTGGTGAAGCAGTTGCCATCAAGAAGGTGCTGCAAGATAAAAGATATAAGAACAGGGAGCTCCAGGTTATTCGCATGCTTGAACATCCTAACGTTGTTCAACTAAAGCACTGTTTCTTTTCAACTACTGATAAAGATGAGCTGTACCTTAACCTTGTTCTGGAGTATGTGCCCGAAACTGTCTACAAAGTTTCAAAGCAATTTATTCGGACACAACATCATATGCCTATCATTTATGTTCAACTCTATACATACCAGGTAAGTCTAGAGAAATTGCAAGTTGGTTAACATTTATTTTCTGATGAGTTCGGATTTCCATGTAATATTTTTTGGGTACTACCAAGGGTATCCCCTCACCTTTTTGGGTAAAGAACTAATCCTTTTCGGGGTGCGTGACTGCCGCTCCCAACAAGTGTCACTCCCAAGAATTGAACCCTTGACCTTTTGGTCTTTATGGGGATCTAGCAGGGTCTTACACCACTAGATCAACGCCTTGTTGGTTTTCCATGTAGTATTTGAATTCTTAATTACTTTGAGCTTGTTATGTTTTTGACTATATTGATTGATCTTGGTATAACTATCTTGTAGATATGTCGTGCATTAAATTATTTACATCAAGTGATCGGCGTCTGTCATCGTGACATCAAACCCCATAACCTATTGGTAAAATTTCTGTCTTTTAATTTCAATAGTTCAGCCTGAGTTGTAGCCCTTGTTTTTTTTATGTTTTTTCTCCTTGTCTCCTTTCCAGGTTTTGTGTTGTACCGATCTTCTTTTTCTATAGAAAGATGAATGAACAATGAGCAAATTTATGCACATAGTACACTTCAACTTAAAATATGATGGCGAATTTGAGGGATATATAAACCATATAATTCAAGCGAGTGGATGAAAGAAGAGTGCATAATGTGTCATTTGTGATAGAAAGATGTTACTCAAGCTTAAGGGAAATTTTACCGCATAACTGTAAGACCCAAAATGTTAAATGAGACTGAATGTAGGGTGGTAAAATGTCAACAAGAGATGAGAATGTTGTGATGGATGAGTGGACACACTAGACAACAAAGAATTAGGAATGAGTGCATTAGGGAGAAATGTAGGGTAGCTCTTATTATAGAAAAAATGGTAGAATCACGACTTGGGTGGTTTTGAGAATTGTGAAGGAGACTATTTGAAGCTCTACTAACGAGAGTAGATCAAATGGAGGTTAGTCCAATTTCCATAGGCAAATGGATGACATGAAAAACCTTAAGCAAAACGATTAGGAAAGATTTAAAGATCAATATTTTGTCAATGGACATTATTTATGATAGTGCATTATGGCGTAGTTCGTTCATGTAGCCGATCTTACGTTGTGGAAGTAAGGCTTGAATGTTGTAGTAGTAGTAGTAGGATAACTATGAGTGGATGATTATTTTAATACTTTAGACTGCTTATAACTTATATTTCATCTCTATAATTTTAAAGCGTATTGAACTGACATGTGATACATATCACAGGTTAATCCCCAGACTCATCAGTTAAAGATATGTGATTTTGGTAGTGCAAAGATGTTGGTATGTTCCTCTTCCTTTAGAATTTGATGATATTATGAATTATGATAACATGTATCTGAGCTTATATTTTGATGCATTTGTAGGTACCTGGTGAGCCCAACATATCATACATATGCTCACGATATTATAGAGCTCCAGAACTTATATTTGGGGCAACTGAATACACAACTGCTATTGATATATGGTCTGCTGGTTGTGTTTTAGCTGAGTTCCTTATAGGACAGGTGAGCATATGCAAGATTTTTACTTCCTTTTCTTCTCTTTCCACTCATGTTGAAGGATCATTAATTTCAGCTGGCAAAATCAAACGTTTTCTTGAAGTTATTGTTTGTCAAAAAACTTTCTGAATTGGTTCTGCATTTTCTTGTCAGATATTTGAAATATAGCATACTGTTCTGTAGTTTGGGTGGAAACCATTTATGTGAAAATTGTATCTTGTTTTTGCTTTAGTCATGAAGCCCTGAAATGTTTAGTCTAGTATATCATCCTTACAATTTTGGTTTGAGATGAATTTACCTTGGAGAGCTGCAGCATGAACTAACATGATACATTCAAAGAATCTTTCTATGAACATTTCACTTTCAAATGAAATAATTGCTTTCCTTGTACTATTAACTAGGTGCGGCAAATTAAGACATTTTATGATTGATACTTTTCTATGCTGTATTATTTGCAGCCTTTGTTTCCTGGAGAGAGTGGGGTTGATCAGTTAGTGGAGATCATTAAGGTATTGTTTGTTGTTCTTTTATTTCTTACCCTTTCCTTTTGCTTTATAATGTTTCTCTTCTTAATTGTTGTCATTCTATCTAACACTTTTCTTCAATATGTGTTTTATTTATGTACTATAGATCTTGGGGACACCAACCAGAGAAGAAATAAAGTGCATGAATCCGAACTACAATGAATTTAAGTTTCCTCAGATTAAAGCGCACCCTTGGCACAAGGTTAGCAGTTATTTCCTCTGCCACTACCCCTAAGACTTGCATGTAATTCATAAATGATAAGTACGTCCAATCCAATCTTACTATATTAGTAACTTCCAGATTTTTGACAAGAGGATACCGCCTGAAGCAGTGGATCTTGTGTCAAGGCTTCTTCAGTATTCGCCAAATCTACGTTGCACTGCTGTAAGAATGTTAATTTGCTTTTGTAAATTTTGCCTTGTATGTTTAGAATGCAAATCCAGTGAAATTAAAGTTGTACAAAGAAGGAAGATCAAACATTCTCAAGTGTGATGGCCTATAATGTTTAAAATCAATACCTAGTTTTATTTTATATAAAAATCGTTACCTCGCTTTGAGGCTATCGAAGTTGGGAAAATAATCAAATTATTCAGCACTGTTAGTCTGTTGTCTAACATTTTCTTGTTTACAGTTGGCTGCGTGTGCACACCCCTTCTTCGATAGTCTACGAGACCCAAGTTTTAGCTTGCCAAATGGGCGACCAGTGCCACCTTTGTTCAATTTCACAGATCAAGGTATGGCGATGATGAACTTACTATTTTCAGTTAAAAATGGTATTTTTTTTTCCGTTGCTTATATATACAAAAAACAATGCAGAACTGGTAGATGCACCTGACGAGTTACGTCAACGTCTCATTCCTGCACATGCAAGAAGTTGAACTGATTATCTGCATTGAAGCATCATCTTTAGGGCATTGTAAATGAGTTTTCGGTTGAATAGGTACCCTCACTAGCTATGTTGTCTGATCAACCAGGTTTTTTTGTCACCCCTGCACAGCTGTGACTATAAAAACTCATAAACCTTAACACCTTGTACTTTGTTAAGGACCATGTAAAAGACCTGCAGGTAACTCAGATGGGTTGGTGATAGTGTTGCAAACCCTTTGTAGTAGTTTATGATGTTGTATGCCTCAGTTGTGAAAGATTATGAGTTCTTACAATCTTTTACTCATGTTTCAATTTAGTTCAAGTTGGTTTGTTCCTTAATTTATTTGGTAGACTAAAATATAGGATCCTCAAATGGGCAGACATATAACTTTTCTATTCTTAACTCTATTTATTTATTCTTGAAAAGAAAAATATTCATCATATTGCATATGATTTCAGTACTTGGGACAGAACTAACTTTCAGATCCAACATGTAATTGGTAAGTTCCTATGGAACAAATTGATAAGTATAATGCACTTTTAACTAAAATTATTGTGACTGAAAATAGCTTGGAATTTAGTAAATTTCAATCAGGAGTTGAAGGGCAAGTGGCACTTGGAAAAAAAGAGTAACTTCAATTTTATGATGTTGTTATCTAAGGCTCATAGGTGGTACCAGCCCATCACTAGAACATGGCAACCTCTGACTACTAACATTGTTTTATGGTTTTTTCACTTTTTTGTTTGTTTGTTTGAAAAGGATGACTCAAAGGGAAAATCTCAGGTCAAGTTGTTAAGGGTTTGTGGTATTGTTTATTAAATGAAAATATTAGTGTGTCTAATATTGCTTACCTCAAAAGAAAAATCATATACTGCTTTAAATTGTAAAGAAAAAGCATAAAAATAAATGAGCTCAGATCAATTACGTTTCATCCATTTAGGATGTTTTGTGTTAGACCCAACTATCACAGTAAAGCTCCTCATAGCTCCAACAACATTGCACCAGCCGGGAATCGAACCCGGGTCTGTACCGTGGCAGGGTACTATTCTACCACTAGACCACTGGTGCTAATCATTATATTTCCCAGTTTTAAATAATTATTTTATAAGACTTGATTATTTGATTTTCTGGATGGCTCAGTCATTTTAGTTTTAGTTACCCGTATAAATCTGAAAATTTAATGGCAATAGCAAAATTGTGTAGAAATATTAATTTGAGCATGTAAAAATATTTAAACTTTTCAAAAATAAAATTAACACATGTGAGCATTTTTAAGATTTTTTTATATAATCAATAATAAACACCCAATGGTAAACTAGTTAATATTGGAGTGCGTGATTTTCTCTGCCAAAATGTTACTTCCAAAAATCAAACAATTGACTTAATACGATACTCGAAAATCCAGTGAGACCTTAAATTTTAGACTAACAAATCATTGGTCTTTTCAATAAAACTGATTTTCAATAGGTTTATTGAAATCACTGATATTGTTTATTCAAATCAAATATAATATATTTCTTTTTTTACCCAAGTTTGTGTAAAACAATTTATTACAATTAATACTTAGGTGGGTGAAGTAAGTATAATTACACTAATTTCTAAAGGTTTGGTTTATTAGTTGTATTTTGTATTAAATAAATAGAAATTGAGGATTTCAAATTTATCTCACGATATTTTCATGACTATAAAACCTTTTTTCATCAATTCTTTCCTTTTGAAAAATTAACTTACAAAATGACCTAATAAAAAATGAATATAAAGTTTTAAAGAAGATGAGTATAGTGATTGTATAATTTACTCTTATTTGTAGAAGTCTCTTGTCCACTGTTATATGGCAGCAAAAATGTATTCAATTTTTTTTAATAATTACGTATTTTTCCAGCAAATAATAAAGTGCGACACATAAAGTAATATATTTTTTACATAGCTAGTTTCACGCATACAAGCTAATACTTTGATTCAACATTTCCAAATGGTTTTTATAGGCAGGATTTTCAATAAGGTCTTTGATACTTCATCGCTTTAGCAATTGAACTACCTCCTAGAAAAATATTTTCTAATGTTTTAATACTATATGTGGAGCCTAGAATTTATAATGTGAGGGAATGCACTTATTTAAAAAATAAGTTTTTAATTTTACTTTACATCTTAGTCATTAATTCTAGGAAAAATTTAATTGTTTGAATTAGTGAGTAGATCTAAACCACTGAATTTCTTTATAATTAATGTTTAAGATGTAAAATAAGTTTAAACTCTTAGATTAAATATCTGTCATCAAGATTCTCCTTATAACGACTTCAGCTACCGTATGTTGAATGATTCTCACTCAAATTCCTTATTGTTTGCAAGTGCATGGTAATACATTCGAAGTTTGCCTATCTCCGACATAAGAAATTCTTAAGGTTTTTATATGCAAGTTTATTTTTTATCAATAAGAAATTTCCAAAGATTATCTTTTTGTTATTAGTAAATATTGTTTTAAGGGGAAAGGGAAAGTACAATCTTGAAAGTTAAATTTAACAATTGATTTATGTTCCGGAGCTTAACCAATTTAACCCACACTTTAAACCTTTCACTGATAAATTAAAATATATGCATCTCATAGAAAATACAACCTATCATTCCAACTTTGAAAAATTAGAACATAGATATTATTATTAAGAATCTTAATTAAAAATCTGGCATGCATGTTTGTATTTAATAAAAAAAAAAACCACTGCAAAATATGTTTAGGAGTTCTCTGAAGGAATTAAGATGAAATATTGGATTTTCATGTGAATCTTACATTTTTAATGTTAAATAACTTTCACCTCATTCCCTTTCTAACATTTTGATTACAATCAAGAGCATTATTAAAAAAGTCAATTAATTTTTTATTTTCGTAAAACAATTATATTTGAAAAGTTTTATATCAATCAAATATACTAATAAACTTTAAAATATATATCCAAAAGCATTCCTAACGAAACATGGTCTTATATACTTATAAATAAAAAAACATACATTCATCCCAAACACATTTGATTCCTACTTCATACACTCCCCAAATAATGTGAGTATATGAAGAAAATCATAAGGTGATCTGATGATTATGGTAAATGATTTAAAGAATAAAGTGAAGAAGGTTACGAGTTTTGAATAAGTATTATATACCAAATTGATCATATTTTGTATACTCTTTTTATGACACTTTAAATACTTAATCAAATGAAATTATAATCATATATAATTAAAACTTATACAAATGGTCATCTGAAGTATTTTGTAGGCTTAATACAGATGAATAATTGCAAAAAGAGAAGTTCCGAACAAAAGCAAAAATTCACCCATGACATGTTGGAATAAAATCACGATAACTCCTTCGTTTATCGTTAGATCAAACTGAAATTTTGATATGTTATTCCTAACTTATGGGGGTTCAATGTGAATGGTGGGGTCATCGAAATGAGAAAAATAGCTTCACTGAGATAAGTTTTTGCATTGAGCGCACATATGAATGAAAAAAGCATTTGGGTACTGTTTGATATGCGCCGAGAGCGGTGCATGATTTGCCCACCACAATTTGGTTCGCTGAGTGCATATGACAATCTTTGGACACTATTTAAGGACTTCTAACTTGAAACAAATGATATACACTTTGTAATATTGATTTGTAATACTTCTTTTCTGAGTTTCGATGGTATAGTTTAGCTCATTTTAGTCATGAGACCAAGGTGTAAGTATTAGACGAGTTAATTTATGCTCATTTGTGTGTTATTCTACCACATCATGAGTTTTATCCATATCATACTCACACATTGTGAACATGAGTAGCTAAAAACCTTGTTTGGATTGAATGTAACATGAGCTTGATGTATACACACCGATTCACCCTTTATTCATGAAGTTTTGATTATATTTGAGTTATGTATTTACTTTATGCTTGCTTTAAGTTTGATCACCTTATTATATGATTATTGAATAATTTTTTTAGTCTCTTACTTGCGTTATTCTGAAGTTACATAACTCAATAAACAATATATTTGCTAGACATAGAACTAATATTGTGATTTTATAACTGGCAAACTGATTAGCATGTGTTACTAGACATAGAGATGTGTTTGAATGTTCACAATATTGAATTTTATCATTGTAGTTATTTGACATAGATATACTTTTGGTAAAGTGTTAGTATAGACCAAGACATTGGCGGCTAGCACAATTGAGGTGTTGCATTCTTACTCAACTTACATGCTTGCATCACTATACATAAGAGCATGATTTGTAAGTCATGTTGCTTATTCTTATGTATCAAAGTAACTAGATATAGGTCTTTCTTGTATAAGTTGCTAAATTGACTAAGACATTAGTTTTTAGTAATTTTGAGGTCATTCTATGAAATAAGTATTACCAAATGAATTGCTTTAAGAATCAAGTAAGTGTGAAGTTCAACCCCAACTCTGTGTATCATATCGTTACAATCTTGATTTGCTTGTGTTAGCAAACAAACAAACCATTTGATCATTACTTAAAATAATATTTTTTAGTTGAAAATCTAGTATCTAACTAACAAGTTCTTGTAAAAGACTAGTTATACTCCTATTTACTAGTTAGTACTCACTCCCACAATAAAATACTATAATAAAATACTATAATTACATATCCATCAACTTGATGGACATGGTTTTAAAGATGTATGAAACTTTAATTTATTAGTATATCAATACTTGATTTTCCACTTCTACAAAAAAAATACTTGAATTTCCACTAAACCAATCCAAAGAAAAAAGACAATACATGTATTCAAATAATGTTACGGTTGTTCCACCAAAAAGGAGACCTAGCAACAAATCCACAAGACTTCTTATCATCTACATGAACTCTTATCAACTTTTCACCACAATCCTTCACACTTGCCACCGTTCCCTTCGCCGGAAAATCCTCCTCCACCACCACCCTCACCGCGAAATGAATAACCCCATTTCTCTTTCCTTCCCAGTCCCTCAACCTATAACTCAACACCTGCATCGAATTCTCAGGCACACCAATCTCCATAAAATCAGAAACCGCAATTCTTGCCACCCCAACAGTTCGAGCAGTACCCTTTGACGACTTCTTGCATTGCACCTCGAAAGTGATGGATTTTGCATGCATTGGCATGTTAATGAGGAATTTCTCGTTCCATGAAAGGAAACTCAAATCTTCGCTACCATTATCTATGGCTATTTTTGTGGTGTAACAGTTGATGGACTCAGCTCGAATGACAACGTACGCTTCGTCCTTTACATGAAGGTTTTCACCAGATATAACTGTGATCTCTAGAATTCGTGAACTTGATCCCATAGTATCAAAAAGAAGTGATGAAAGCAATTTATAATAAGGAATGTGTGTATCTAAGTGTGTGTGTTTGTTGAGAGGGAGAGAATGTAAGAAGGGTGGTTTAATAGAAGGTTTATTTTTTATTTGGAAGGGGACGCGAAAGAGAGGAAGAAGCTGATGAGTTATTTCAGTGTTTCTTTTAAACTCTGTGTGGACTTTGACTTTGAAATTTGACCGGTAAATTTGCATTTCAACGGACAAATTTAACACGTATGACCTGTCCTAAAAACTATTTTTTCTATCTGTAGCTAATCTATTAATCTATTTTGATTTTATATTTCCACCTTAAAAATAAGGATATTTTTCAGTCAAGTGGTCATTTTTTAATTAGACAAAATTAAAATACAAATGTAAATGTTCTTACAAATTTGGGAGAGGCTACCTACTCATTTTTAAATGAAGGTTAACATGGAGTACGTGTTGCTTTGGCTTCAAGGGATACAATTTTTCTCATATAAGTATTAACAACCCTATTTTTTTATATTATATTTCATTACATATAGATAATGATCTAATTCATTTTGGAATGTGTATTTATTCATCTCAACATGTATCACTTAAGAGTTTAATTCTTGACATTTAATGTATCTGAAAATTCAATGAAACTTTAATTATATTATTAGACCAACACATTGTTAATATTAACAATGTAATTATTTAATAACAAAATTATGTTAAAAAAGTTTTTCTTTTATTATAGTTTTTATAAAGAGA